AATAGTTCTGGGATCATTCTTTCAACCTTGAAGTGTTCAGTTAAACACTTTTTAAACTTTTATAGTTTCTCTAAAACTCATTTTCTAAAACTACGAGTAGTTTAGATATATATGTTTATAATTTCCCTTTAGTGTTCAAGAGAGACTCTTAGCAGATGCACAATAATCTTTTATTGATGTTTTATCAGTTCAATTTTGCAACAACTCAAACAACCAGCTGAGAAACAGCAGATCTTGCAGAAAGGTTTCTCAAGGTTCCCAGTAAACAAGCGGCACATTAACCGAGGTTAAGAAAAACAGTCTCGTTTTTCTTAACCTCGGTTCACCAGGCGGTAAGTAAGGCTAACAGTCTGGTTAACCATGTCCGGCACATTAACCTTCCAACAGAGTTTTGAAGACGAAGGACTGAACCTCGAACTGCTGTTAACAGCAGTTCGATGGAATTGTCATTGGACCTGTTCTCCACTCTTTGAATCGAGTCTGAATGCCTCCCCATGGTGGAGTGCTAAACTCTACGGCTTTATCTCTCCCCCATGAATGTAATAATAATAATTATTATAATGAAATAGCTAGAGACAGACTGAAAGTTACCAATGACTGATGGAGAGGATAAACTATGCTAAACTCTCTCAGTATGAGAACATGATCGTTGAAGAGCTGCTTGAGATTCTCACAGCCTTTGAGCATGTCACTAACCTTGTCCTGGACCAAAACCGTCGCTTCAAGCTTTCTTTTACTGTGTATTAAGGAACTTCACACTGAAGTCCCTCAATACTGGTAGACGGCAACCACTCAGGGATGTACTACCGTCCTGCCAAGTGAGTGTGAAACAGAAACCTGTAATTGTTTTACATGATGGATAACAGGTATATCTTGCACTCAGGTCACACTACACAGGCATGCATATATATATATATATATATATATATATATATATATATATATATATATATATATATATATATATATATATATTTATATATATATATAATATATTATATATATATATATATATATATGCAAAAAAACCTCTGTGAAAGAATAGAGAAATTCCAAGCGTTTCGTATGTAGTCACGAAACGCTTGGAATTTCTCTATTCTTTCACAGTGGTTGTTTTGCAAATTCTGAAATCACCATGTTTTACTGTGATCTTATTGCACTATATATATATATATATATATATATATATATTATATAAATATATATATATATCTATATATATATATATAATATATATGAATAATATATATATATGGTAGGTAGTAGGTTGGTAGACAGCAACCATCCGGGAGGTACTACCGTCCTGCCAAGTGAGTGTAAACGAAAGCCTGTAATTGTTTTACATGATGGTAGGATTGCTGGTGTCTTTTGTCTGTCTCATAAATATGCAAGATTACAGGTACGTCTTGCTACTTTCTACATTACACTTAGGTCACACTACACATACATGTACACATTTATTTATACACACTCATCTGAGTTTTTCTTTGATTTTATCTTAATAGTTCTTGGTCTTATTACTTTTCCTTTTATATCCATGGGGAAGTGGAATAAGAATCTTTACCTCCGTAAGCCATGCGTGTTGTAAAAGTCAACTAAAATGCCGGGAAAAATGGGCTAGTAACCCCTTTTCCTGTAAAGATTACTAAAAAGAATAAGAAGAAAATTGTTTTCTTTCTTTTTTGGGTCACCCTGCCTCGGTGGGAGACGGCCGACTTGTTGAAAAAAAAAAAAAAAAAAAAAAAAAATAATATATATATATATATACACACACACACACACACACACACACACACACACACACACACACATATAATCTTTCCTCCATAAGCCATGTGTGTCATGTGAGGCGACTAAAATGCCGGAAGCAATGGGATACTAACCCCTTCTCCTGTAGAAAACACTAGAAAAGAGAAGAAAAGCTTTATAAAACTGGGATGTTTGAATGTGCGTGTGTGTAGTGCAGATGATAAGAAAGAGAAGATTGCTAATGTTAGGAATGAAAAGAAGTTGGATGTCCTATCTCTAAGCGAAACAAAGCTGAAGGGGGTAGGTGAGTTTCAGTGGGGGGAAATAAATGGGATTAAGTTAGGAGTATCCGAGAGAGTTAGAGCTAAGGAAGGTGTGGAAATAATGTTATGGAAGGAGAAGAGGGAATATAAATGTATAAATTCAAGGATTATGTGAATTTACATAAGGGTCAGATCCGAAAAATGGGTCATAATAAGTGTGTATGCACCGGGAGAAGAGAGGAGTGTAGAGAGAGAGAACGATTTTGGGAGATGTTAAGCGAATGTATAGGAACTTTTGAGCCAAGTGAGAGAGTAATTGTGGTAGGGGACCTAAATGCTAAAGTAGGAGAAACTTTTAGAGAGGGTGTGGTAGGTAAGTTTGGGGTGCCAGGTGTAAATGATAATGGGAGCCCTTTGATTGAACTTTGTATAGAAATGGGTTTGGTTATAGGTAATACATATTTTAAGAAAAAAGGATGAGTATACAAGATATGATGTAGGGTGTAATGACAGTATGACTCACGAAATCGTAATGACACGATTGCAAACAAACCATACCATGGACGGGGATAGAACCTGCGATCATAGAGCCTCAAAAGTCCAGACCGTCGCGTTAGCCACTGGGCCAGCTAGCCACAATAAGATTCATCCAATTAGGTATATTTCTGTACCATAGGAAGGTTAGCACAGGCACCACTGTGACCACAAATGCAAGAGTTTTGAGACTCTGATCGCGGGTTCTATCCCCGTCAGTGGTATAGTTAGTAATGACAGTAGTTTGCTGGACTACGTATTGGTAGATAAAAGACTGTTGAGTAGACGTCAGGATGTACATGTTTATAGAAGGGCCACAGATATATCAGATCACTTTTTAGTTTTAGCTACAGTGAGAGTAAATGGAAAACAGAAAACAGAAGCAGCAGGTAAGAGAGAGGTGAAGGCTTATAAACTAGAGCAGACAGTTAGGAGGATAGATGGGCTAGTGAGAGTATAGGCAATGGAGTCGAAGATGTATGGGGTAAGTTTGAAAATATAGTCTTAGAGTGTTCAGGAGAAGTTTGTGGCTACAGGAAAGTGGGTGCGGGAGAGAAGAAGAGTGATTGGTGGAATGATGAGGTAAAGAGAGTAGTAAGGGAGAAAAAGTTAGCATATGAGAAGTTTTTACAAAGTGATGCAAGGAGGGAAGAGTATATGGAGAAAAAGAGAGAGGTTAAGAGAGTGGTGAAGCTATGTAAAAAGAGAGCAAATGAGAGAATGGGTAAGATGTTATCAACAAATTTTGTTGAAAATAAGAAAAAGTTTTGGGGTGAGATTAATAAGTTGAGGAAGCCTAGGGAACAAATGGATTTGTCAGTTAAAAATAGGAGAGTTAGAGTTATCAGGAAGATGGAGGGAATATTTTGAGGAATTGTTAAATGTTGATTAAGATTGGGAAGCTGTGATTTCGTGCATAGGGCAAGGAGGAATAATTTCTTATCTAATTTTCCCTACTCATTTTTAATATAAACATATTAAGCCTAAAACTGCATATTTTAATTCTATTATGAGTTCTTAATTCTATCTAAAACCTGTAATCTATCAAATTAATGTAAATATATCAATAATAATGTGCTGACTCGTGACTTCCACTGCATATTTTAGTCGACGTGGATTATGAAGGCCTCTACTGCTTGTTACAATGGTCCTGTGGGATTTCTCGATCTCAATAAATTCCCACACATTTTCTGGTTGGGTTCAAACTTAAGCCCTGGTGTGGTTTCCTCCAAGAATCCTTCGCGTTGATTTTGGTTGGGTTAACATAGTATAGTACCAGTTTTATTAAATAAATTGGTTTAGCAATAATTAGACAAGGCCTCTTCTGATTGGCTTGGAAATGCTGATGTATCTTCAGGATAAACATGGATTAATTTTGGACTATACAGGTGCCAGTTTACTAATTTATTGGACAACATTGACGAAGTTGAAATACTTGTTTTCAAGAGATAATTTGTGAAAGTGAATCTCCTCCCACCGAGGAACATAATTTGACTTTATCGATATAATTTTTATGTGATCTGATTTTATTGTAAGAATATATGGTGCTTAGGCAACTAGTAAAGGACTTTGAAAAACGTTATTCTAGCAATCGTATTTATTACTGTATGTCAAGTGTTCATCAAGATATATCCTAGACACAGGACTCTAGTCAGCACTAGTCAGGTTCTTAATCTACTGTTGACTGGAACGTTAACTGCCTTATTAGCTAGAACCAGGTTAATTAAGGGCCCATAAGAGTACGACACTGTCGATCTAAGATTCTAAGTGAACAGAAACAGTTGAGTTTCTAAGCTGCTTCTATTAAATGTTGTTAATACGGTTCTCAAGACATTTAGCACAACTTTAACCAGAGGCAGCAAGCTCCTTGTCTTCCATTTTAATGAGTCGTGCGCCTTCATACGCTCATACGAGTTCGAAGGGTTTATACTATCATCAAAATACCACATTTCTGGGCGAAACGTTGTGGTAATAAAAGGTTTCCCTGCAACATAATATCTAATCCTTTTCCTCTTGGCATCTCTAGTGTTACTGATTCTGTAAGTCGCTGAGACCACTGGGCCGTTGATAGAGGATTCCAATGGAACCTCCAGCGGGTATTGATTTTTGAGTTGGTAGCATCAATCCTTGAGGGTTTACACACCTCAAGGAAGGTTCCTTGATGTTAGTGAGGGGCTCTTGATTTAGGGAATTGTAAGTAAGGAAAAATCAGTGTCATTGTTTTTTTTCTTTCATTGGATATGCAAGAGTAACGCCGCTTTTACTCTCACATTCTCATTATCTTTCCTCTCTTTACCCCTCTCTTCCTTATTTTCCATCTCTCTTATTTCATTGCCCTGACACTCTCCTCCTATCACTTGTCTCTCCCCATCTCTCTTTCCTTCATTTTCAAACATCTTCGCTTTATGTCCTACCTTTTCGCCCTCACTCATCTTCTCCACCTTTCTCCCACAGCTGCTGGAGATGTTGCATGTGCCGCTGCTGCATGGAGGGGTGAAAGAGGTGCTACTCTTCGCCAGCTTCGCCACCACCTCCACGGCCTCCTTCACCCTCGCCTGCTTCTTGCTAGCCCTCTGTGCCGGCATCCTGGAGGGACTGCGACTTCTACTGTGAGTGGACAGGGATGCCTGCCTCCTGCACGAGCTCTCATACTAATTACTACTCATATTTTATTAAATTACCCACAACTTGGGCCATTTTACTTTTGTCAGGAATATGTTAATCACCAGAGTACTCGACTCGCAGAGATCTTGAAAGAAATATTAGAACAGTAAACAACTGATTTTTTAAACTAATGGTGGATATTTTCACGGTAACGCAAAGGTTTATGAGTACACAAAAGGCCTATGAACAAGGCCCCAAAAGGGTTTACAGGAGTACGTCTGGATTTGTATCTACAGTTCATTTATCTGCTGCATTAATAAGATATCTTGACATAGCACATAGGTTGTTTTACTTTCTAGCAATCCAAGCTTCCCGTCATTATTACCTAAAGTTTGACTGACATAGCTGCATCGTGGATAGATGGTCAGAAGTCCCATTGCTTCACCCATCCCGCCCTTTCTTACATGTTATTTTACCCAGGGTTTGATGAGGCAGGATATTTGCGAGTTTCAGTATATTTACTGGTGCTGCTAGAACCAACAGTCTGTGTGAACATGCTATTCACCAGCTGGCCTGGTCTAGGACCGACCTGGCCGGGTGGCAGTTAACCCCAGAATCCACAACAAGTAGGTGGAAGTTAGAAGAAAATGAGATACTTCACTGTAATACAGAAACATTGTATATAACGACGGTTCTTTTCATTTAAGAGCTTATTCAAGTCCGAGGTGAACTTGTTGTTTGGTCAGTAAACTACCAGTCCGATGCTCACTGTCTTGGACCTCTGTGTTTCTAATAGGAAGGCATCGGCATTAATACTTTTTACAATATATTCTGACATAGGCACCAACTGTAACCCAGCTGAAACCCATCGTCCACCCTGTATATAATATATATATATATATATATATATATATATATATATATATATATATATATATATATACAACATATATATATATATATATATAATATAATTATATATAATATATAAATATATATAATATTATATATATGTATTAAGGAATTCGCGAGAGCATGCGAAATATACACAAACACTGATCTCTGGCTGAAGGAGACTCGAGCTCGAGTCTCCTTCAGCCCGAGATCAGTGTTTGTTTGTATATATATATATATATATATATATATTATATTATATATATATATATATATATATATATATTTATGGTTCCAAAAAATGAACTTTCTTTTTCTACCTTTCCCCATCTCGTAAAGTTTTTGATCTTTATTAGGGAATATCACTGGCTAACTTTTAGCGTGATAGGATAATATTTAGAGGCAACTCTGGTAACTTGAAGAAACTCTCAAGTATCCGCTATCCTACTCAGTTGCTCGGTGTCGACTCTCCTTGTAGACTGTGCTATGCTGATTATTTTAGCAAAAGAATCCTGATTTTGATTTTCAACCTTTTCTCCCAGAAATACTCGAAAAAATTATCACGTGTAGTTATTTTCTATTGGCAATGCGTTAATCAATTTTTTTTCTATTTTTTGGGGACTAAATCACAGGTTATGGCAAAAAATCGAGGATTTTATCTCATTGACAAGTCTGAGGAGAAAATACTTAGTATGATGCTACCTTCTACTGACCAAGTGCTCAGTGTTGTCTTGCATCATCACTTTTATCCAGAAAGAGAGTTGAAGACAAGTGATGAAGCAATTTGGAAAGATGTTTTTTTTTGTGTGAAAGCCAGAATTCCGACCATGAGGAAGGACTCTGCCATCAGCAACATCCTTGTACTCCACAATGACGGAAACTATTGAAGAATAAAAACAGGAAGGCGCACAGGAGGGATGAGGCATTCAGCAGTACGTTTACAAACTTGCTGGATATTATCCCATGTGAACACTCGATCATGGAAAACAAATTTGCTTTGCTGCTGGCTCAGTGGGAGCTTCCGATATCAAAACAGAAAGGAAGAAAGGGATAGTTGCAAAGTGGGAACTGCAGGTAAATAAAAAGAGGCACAAGATGTAAAGATGAGGCCTCATCATCTTCACAGAACTGGCATCTTCCGCAGATATTTCTGCGTCAGAATCCGCGGAAGCAATGCATCAAACAAAACGCATGGTGATAGTCTAAAACCGTCTGAATATTCTTCAGAAGCAGCTGCAGGGAGTCTCTTCCTGAAAGCTTGGATCACAGAGGATCGCTGCAGCAGCTCCTTCAAAAACTCCTTCAAGGCCACAAGAAATTCGCAAAAGCTGCAGCATCAAAATTCGAAGCCCACTTGTAGTACTTGTCTGAGGAAATGGTCACGAAGAGTTCCCTAGCTCCCTAAGCCACCAAACTCAACTACGTGTTCCTGCGTAAAGATCCGTCGCTTTGAGATTAAGATGAAGACTTCAAAGAGGCTCTCTGGAAGATGAGAAATATTAAGGTGGTCAACGACAGTGCCAAGTATGTGGATGTTCTAATTCAGAAGCACAGCGGAAACCACACCAAGAGTGAAATACATCTCCAGTATTTATACGAGTTGCTGACTACCACTGAAAGAAACGTCCAGAAGGTATGAAATGTTCTCTGACAAGTAGGCATAAATGAGTGGTCTGACTTGCCACGATTATCCTCGGTGCATCGTTCTGTAGTAACTTCAACCTTTGAGAACCACCCATAAATATACAAGCTGGTACAAATTTTGTTGATATGATTTTCTCATAAACTGGAGCAAATTTATGTTAATGTAAAAATTAATAATTTTGTTCCAAATGAACCTTAGAAAAGTTACCTAACCTTATTATAACAAGCTCAATTTAATTTAGCCTAATCCAACTAAATATATTTTAGATAAGTTTACAATAATTTAATAATAAACAAACACAATTAAATATATTTTTTCGTTAGGTTCAGAATGATTTTTTTGCGAAATTATTGCATACACAAATTTTAGCTTGCCTTATTCGGCAAGAAGAGATTAACCTATTCGGCATCTCACATACACACACAATTTTTTTTCAACAACTCGGCCGTCTCCCACCTATTTTATTTATTTATTTATTTATTTTATGTCTTTGCAAACAGTACATTGAGATTTTGGATTTACAATAGTGGGTTGCAATGCAAAGAGAACCTCTATTATGCCTAGGCATTATGGGCCAACTTAACATTATTGGCTTAAAGACTACTTAACACTAAGGATTATATCATAGTTGTACAGTAGGATAGTAATTATTTCATAGTTGAACAGTTGATTAATTAATTATAAGTGAATCAAAATTTGTATAAGACAAAAGATAAATTCGTCTATTCAAAAATGATTTTTGTAAAAACATTGATTCAACTATTTTCCTGTCAATAATGGATAAAAGGTTCGAAGTGATTGTTGAAGTTATGATGTGGGAGTACATAGGTGAGTGTGTACTGAGTATCACCGTTTAGTCTAGGGTGATTAAGTGACTTTTGAGAAGAGTCCTAAATTGATTTTCAGACCGGGTTACTTTAATATCTTCTGGTAATGAATTCCATATTTTGAGGCCCTTTATGTGCACAGAGTTTTTACACAGTGTGATATGGACACGAGGTATATCAAAAAGAGATCTGTGTCTTGTGTTGTGGTCATGTGTCCTGTTTAAGTTGGAGAGAAGTTTGAGTGGAAGGTTTATATTTGCATGTATTGTTCTGTGTATGTAGTAGGCACTTGAATAAGTATGGATAAACCATACCACGGGCGGGGAGAGAACCCGCGATCAGAGAGTCTCAAAACTCCAGACCGTCACGTTAGCCACTGGACCAGCTAGCCACAATAAGGTTCATCCAACTAGGTATATTTCTACACCACAGGAAGGTTAGCATAGGCACCACTGTGACCACAAATGCAAGTTTTTACAGACGAATCTCCAGCTAGCGTGGCCGTGGCAAACTCTAGCTCAAGTCCCCTCAAAGCCGTTAACATGACTCACGAAATCGTAATGACACGATTGCAAACAAACCATACCACGGGCGGGGATAGAATCCGCGATCAGAGTGTCTCAAAACTCCAGACCGTTGCGTTAGCTGGTCCACTCTTTCATATGCCTTTTCTAAATCCATAAATGCAATAAAAATTTCCCTACCTTTATCTAAATACTGTTCACATATATGATTCAATGTAAACACTTGATCTACACATCCCCTACCCACTCTTAAACCTCCTTGCTCATCTGCAATCCTACATTCTGTCTTACCTCTAATTCTTTCAATAATAACCTACCGTACACTTTTCCTGGTATACTCAGTAAACTTATTGTCCTATAATTTTTACAATCTCTTTTGTCCCCCTTCCCTTTATATAAAGGGACTATACATGCTCTCTGCCAGTCCCTAGGTACCTTCCCCTCTTTCATTACATTTATTACACAAAAATACCAACCACTCCAACACTATATTATTCCCTGCTTTTAACATTTATGTCATGTTGCCGTCAGTTGCAGCTGCTTTACCCCTTTTCGTTCTATGTAGCCTTACGCACCTCCCCCACACTCACATCTTGCTTTTCTTCACTCATATACATGTATATGTATATTTGTAACCATGAACGAGTGGTACTGAATCAATAACAACATTGCGATTAGCCGAGGATTCGAACCCATGTCGTTTTGGCCCGCCCCATGGTCAGCGAAAATCACACATGATGCTCTAATCCACAGGACCACGCAATCCTGCAAGAATCACGCACCCAGCAGAGCTACGTGTTTTACCGTGTGGCACTGAAACCGATGTCCATATCTATTTAACCCTTAAACTGTCCAAACGTAGATCTACGTTTTTTCAACATTTGAAAGTATGTAAAAAAAAGTAGAGCTTCTTTTTTTTTTTTTTTTACATTTGAAAACGTGTAAAAAAAAACTTTGATCTACGTTTTTTTGTTATATTTGAAAATATGTAAAAAAAACATAATCTACTTTTGGAGCACTACGCAGGATGTAGAATGTTGGGAAACACCCATTGAACGTAACCTACGCATGTGAACAGAACTACGCCATTGAGTAGACATACGCCATTAAGCTTAGCTGTCATGAACATTTAAGGTTATATAAACAATTTGAACGTACGTCTAAAACCAAATGATCCCCACGTTACGTAAGAATTACCATGCAAATTCAAGCTTTAGGCTGATCATAAAAATATTATCGAGCCTGCATAAAGGCTTCACAGCAGTAGATAAATGCAAATATATCATTAGAGGATTAGAAGATTTTAAAATATGCAGCTCTTTTATTTAAATATGTGAAGCACTAAACGTGCATGGGCCACAGCGCAAGAAGTAATAGACTCAGTCCTCCCCCAGCTAATCGTGATAACTAAAATGTGCACCAAATATACGTATTTTTTATATGTGAAAAATATTTTCCAGTTGGCTACAGTTATCTTGAGGCTTCTACTAAATATTTGCAGCCTTGCAGATGGTGGGCGGAGCGTCGGTACACGAGAGACTGTCAGGCTGCTACACACAAACTTGCCTGTGAATGTAAACATTGTACAAGTCTGACCTTAAGGTGAGTGTCTTACTTTGTTTTAATGAAAACTAATTAGTTTCTAAGAGAGTTGGTCTGTTTCTTAATACTTCACTTTCTGCACAACTCTGTCTACTTATATAAAATTCTTGTATAATTGTTAATACTGAATTTCCAACAAGTCTCTTAAACTGTTAATTTTCAGCTTTCTCTAGACGATTCTTCATCTGCGTGTGTACTCGCCTATGTGTGGTTGCCAGGGGTGTGTGTGTGTGTGTGTGTGCGTGCTGTGTGTGTGTGTGTGTGTGTGTGTGTGTGTGTGTGTGTGTGTGTGTGTTTGTGTGTTTGTGTGTGTGCTTGTGTGTGTGTGTGTGTGTGTGTGTGTGTATGTGTGTGTGTAAATAGCTTAACGTATAATGAACACTTGTCATTGCTCAGTAATAACCCACATGGAGACAGAAACTCAGAAAAATAATTGGTATGTATATTTCTACCCCTTGCTGGGTCATTACACTTACATAAGAAAGAACATAAGTAAGGTGGAACACTGCAACAGGCTTATTGGCCCATATTTAACAAGTCCGTCTCAAGCCACACACTAACAAAATTATCTGCTTATCCCATTTTTAATGTTATCCAAGGAATAAGCTTTGATAATTCTGTTAACTCATAATAAATTTGAGTGGGACTTACATACGAGTTAACAGGAATGTAGATAAATAGTTCAGAGAACCTATAAGTGGAAACGTTTACCCCCGCAGTGGCTTCATCAGTCCAATACAAAGTAGAATAGTGAAGATCAGAATACAGTATTTGCTGTATTCTTATCAATATTGATTGACAATGTATATAGACTTCAGGCTGAGGGACTAATTACCTCAATCTCCTTCTCATCATTATTTTTTTTTTGTATTGTACTAATATAGCCACTGTGTGGGGAAACATTTCCACAATAAAAATATCCAAGTGTTACACAGGTGTCTAATTTACCAACTTATCGACTCTCTGAATCATTTATCTATATTCCTATTAACTCATCTGCAAGTCCCACTCAAATTCAACCCCTCTCACTCATGTATTTATCAATGACCTTACCAGGGAGACTGTTCCACCCATGACTACTCTTTCCAAGCCAGTACTTAACTATAGCCTTTCTAAATCTGAACTTATTCAATTCGAATACATTATTTCGAGTTCTTGGAGAGATATCCTCAGGACATTATTTATATCTCCTCTGTTTATGCCCATCTTCCACTTACTTCAATCATATCTGCCGTTATTCTTCGTCTTACAAGAAAATGTAATTTGAGGAATTTCAGTCTTCCTTGATTTGGAAGATTTCTTGTTCAGTGGATTAATTTTGTCATTCTTCTCTGGATGTTTTGTAGCGAATTTATATCCATTCTGTAATATGGATACCAAAAGTTAGTTGCATAATCTAAGTGAGGGCTTGTTCATGATGTGTAGAGCTGTGAACTGCTTTAGAAAGACACGTAAGCAAACACTAGGACCCTGATCACTTAAAAAGACAGTATACACAGGCGGAGAGTGAGGTGTGAGTGACGCATAGCGACCTGAAGAATGCCATATTGGGATGAGAACGGGTAGACAATGGGATCATGTGACTCCTGTGTTGTTGGGTAGGTGTGCTTTGCCTGCTTGAATGTCATGTATGATAATGTTTTGGAAATTTTGTAGTTTCCAGTGTTGCGTTCTGTGGTGTCGGTGACTGCAGTTAGCGAGGCTTCCAGACATCGTCGGCGTTTATGGCCTTGTTAGGTTAGGTAAGGTTTGTCAGGAAACAGGACAAGTGTCTCCTGACGCTGGTCTTAGATGATGACCCGCCATTGGAGCTTTTAGTCATCTGACTGAGGCCTTCTGCTGGCTTACCGGTCCACCACTTTAAAAATTCTGGCCAAAGTTATAACCATTTCATTCTTGTTAGGTAAGGATGAGTCGTGCCTCCCAATTCATCAAATGTCTCGTGGGATCCCTGTGGAGGACACAGGCGTACCTTAAATCGTCTCTGTTTCTGGCATTTCGATGTTCATTAGGCGGACCGAAAGATTTCTGCCTGTTTCCCCTACATATTTCTTGGAACACTATCCACAAGGGTTGATGTAAACTCCCGCTGTGGAAGTTAGATGTGTTTATGATGGAGACATTTATGTTACTCTTAGCAAGTACTTGGCGAATATTCGTGGCATCACTGCATATAGCACTGTGAACTGCTTAGAGGGCTGTTCCATGGTGAATTTGTTGAGGATAGCAAATAGATTACTGGGATTTATATCAAGAAGTGTAAGCAACAGAAGTTCAGCGGTTATACTACAGCTTTATACATCATTAGTAAGCCCTCACCTAGATTATGCAGCTCAGTTCTGGTCTCGAAGCTTATTATCAGGGTAGCACTGAAAGTGGGTTGGGCAAATATTTTGCTGGCGGGTTGGATTGTGAAGAACCTGCCTAGTATGGGCCAACAGGCCTATTGTAGTGTTCCTCCTTTCTTATGTTCTTATGTTATATATTTTTGATCGTGAACTTTATTTTTTAATATGAAAATATGATTTAATTGTAACTATTCAAACTGCCAATTTTTATTTACATTATTTTTCCTATATTTTGCTAGCAGATTTTCAGGTTCTGATGTTTTTGATTTACATATCAAGATAAACATTCACCCTAGTTTACAATGCAGTATTTATTATTCATGCTAAATGTCAGTACTTAATGTCCAATAAATGTGACTCGTGAAGATTTTAATGTATCCTGAAATATGTATAGTCGTATATAAAGGCTTTTATATGTGACTTTTTATTTGCATATATTTAATGTCTTCAGTATTTTTTTTAATCTACACATATTTTGACGTGTGTTGTGGAGCGCAGTGTGGCGGGTAATGGAGAACACAAGAACTATGATGCCATCCATGACAGCAGAGCCTCCAGTGAGTCATCTTCAGCACCTCTCACACCAGCACTTCCCCACCTCTCACATCTTGAAAGGTTAATATTATCACTTTCTTATGAGGACATTGACTCTAACTTTGACATTAACTTGTTGGAATTCTTTTAGTCATGTTCAGGTAAGTAATGACGAAGCTGAAGGTAATGCCCCTCGAAAACCTCCCATTTTTAAATGTTCTTTTTAGCAAAACTGGATATAAAAGTTGCATAGTGGGAACAAAAATTAGCTAGTGGGAACAAAAATTAGCTATGTTTCATTAATGATGAAATCTGTCAGTCTGAACTGTGCGACTAAAGCAGGACAATGATAATATCCAGAATTCCGTTAAGAGTTAGTCAGTTACTGTGTTACAAAGACTTCGTTTAAGTAGAATGAGAGTTACTATTACTTAGGAATTACCACCTCTCAGGATGGCCTTTCCCATAAACACTAGAAAAATATTTTATGAAGATATCTCCATTATCACAGAGTGGAGGATAACAGAAATTGGTTTAGAAAGACACGTAAGCAAACACTATGACATATTTATTAGAAAACGTTTCGGTCCTGGGACCTTGATCACTTCTAACATACAGATTGTTGTTAAAGATTCGCCGGTATTCTCCCGGCCCGGGCCCTTCCAAGTGGTGGCCCGGCAGCTAACATACAGAGGTAGAAAGACATTATATATGTAGGCGGAGAGTGAGGTGTGAGTGACGCATGGTGACCTGAAGAATGTCATGTTGGGATGAGGACGGGTAGACGATGAAATCATGTGACTCCTGTGTTGTTGGGTTGATGGTGCTTAAGTATCATGTATGCCAATGTTTTTGAAATTTTGTAGTTTCCAGTGTTACGTTCTATAGTGTCGGTGACGGCGATTAGTGAGGCTTCTAGGCACCGTCGGCGTCTGAGGTCTGGTTCGGTGAGAACGAGTTGTGCCTCATTCCAGTTCATCAAATGTCCCGTGGAGTCTCTGTGGAGGACACCTTACATCGTCTCTGTTAGAGCCATTTCGATGCTCATTCAGGCGGATTGCAAGATCTCTGCCTGTCTCGCCTACATATTTCTTGGGACAGAATCCACAGGGGATAGTGTAGACGCCTGCTGTAGAAGTTAGAGGTGTGGGCTGCGTTTCGTAGTGAGGTCTTTGATAGATGATGTGTTTATGGTGGAAACGTTGATGTTAGTTATAGCAAGTGCCCGGCGAGTATTTGTGGCGACATCACCACATGGGAGCACTATGAACTGCTTAGGTGGTTGTTCCATGGGCGGTTTGTTGAGGATAGCTTGTGCCTTGAGTCTGCAATCTCGGATGAAGAAAGATGGGAATTGAAGACGTGTAAAGGCTTGTGTTATGTAAGTACATTCTTCTTCTAGAAAACAAGGGCTGGAGATGCGAAGAGCTCTCAAGAAGAAGCCAGTGAGGACTCCTCTCTTAGTGCGGGTGTCTTGGTGTGAATAAAAGTGTATAAGATCGTCCTTGTTGGTAGATTTTCTATACACTTTGAAGAGAAGTTTGTCACTGTCGGGAGATCTGCACAGGAGAACGTCGAGGAAAGGAAGTTTGCCATCGTTTTCGAGTTCAAGTGTAAACTTTATTGATGGTTCGGCTGCATTGATCTTGTTGAGAAGGGCCTGGATATTGAGAAGTCTCGGATAGAAAACCAATATATCATCAACGTATCTTAGCCAGGTAACGGTGTTGGGAATGAGAGTGCTGAATTTCTCTGTCTCTAGGTTTTCCATGAAGAGGTTGGCAAGCACAGCACTGAGCGGGCTGCCCATTGCCATCCCAAAGCACTGTTTGTAACAGTTGTCCTGGTACTTGAAGTTGAAATTTGTGTTAATTTCAACTTCTTTTGTGTTAATTTGTGTTAATTACGAGCTAAGAGGACTGTCTTCTTGAAGAGACTTGACAAACTGATTACCATACAACCTGTTGAAGACCTAAAGACCTCCATAGAAGAACAAAATCCCTGGGCTACAGTTGAAAGCATCACCAAGATTCCTTCTGCCTCCTCCATGCTGAAAATCACTTTTACTGATGTGACAATGGCTGCCCAAGCTATGGCTGAAGGCCTGGCCATATACTATTACTTCATTAACTCCAATCATATGTAAGCTGAGCGGTACCATCATATTACTCAGTGCGGGAGTTGCTACTCTTACCTAAAACTCAAACAAAAACTCCCCCACAAAAGAAAAAAAAGTTCTGATCTCCCGGGCGGGCCCTGAAGCCCAAAGGGATTCCAAGACTTGTACTTCTACTGCCTCACTTAAGTGTCTAAAACCTGAAAAAACCCAATAAATCATACCCCCGCTGCAAATTCCCCCACTCGTCTTTGAAATTCTGAAAAAAAACCAAAAGCAAACAGAGGAAAGACCCCTTTCCCAAGTCACCAAATTATGCGCCATCCCCAAAACTCCAGGCCGACACAACAAAAACTTTAAAAAAAGCAAACCCAACCCCCCAAAACAAATCCAAACCTTATGAACATACAAAAAATTCCCATTCTTTTTTTTGGAAATTTTCCCACACATCCAAATAATAGGGCGTTACCAGGCTCCTTCAACACTGTTATTAAACGAGCTTTTTCCGATTAAAACAACCCCCCAAACTTTTTTTCCCCAACTTTTACCACCATTTTTCCGACATCATAAAGCTCCCCAAAAAATTTAGGAAACATAAAAAACCCCTGAAATTCCACCCTCCAAAAAAAAAACCAATCACGACTTCCCATCACCACCCTGTGGACCAATCCCCTTTAGTCTTCCACCTCTTCTGCTAAAACTAACGAACCCCCTTTCCTTCATCTCCCAACTCATCCCACCAAAACCCAAAAAAGCTAAGACACTTCCTCCTAAAAAATCCCCCTCAAAAACCAAAGGGGCCCTTGAAGAAATAAAAAGGGGAAAAACAATTTTTAGACCAATTTAAAACCCCCTCACCTTCTATACATACCCCCCTTTCACACCCCGTCCTATATGAAACCTCAGGTCATCTATTCCATGCACCAGGGTAGTATCAAGTACAATGTTGCTCCTGGTTTGGGGATCCCCACACTAAAAACTGCCCTAATTGCAGATTTTTAAAAAAAAGCCCAAGGCAAAAGCCCTCCTAAAAATTTATTTTATTATCAAAACCTGTTTTCAAAAGACTTCAAAATGGCTCTACGACGGGAACAAAAAAACTAACAAAACGCAGATATGAAGAGTGTTATCCACCAATCAACGCTGATCCTCTCCCCTTTCTTCCCGATACTTAACCAATCATATTGAAACATCCCCCTCCCTCTCCATCCCGCTTCCCGCCGATTCCCAAAAGAAAACCCAAATCGCCGACCAGATCTACAGATAAACCACCTAAAGCACCTGCACATTTGGGCCCACGTCGTCCACTTCCCTCACCCAAAGTCCTGTTCCTCCAGCTCTACCCCACGTCGTCTAAAGCTCTGGGTTAACCCCGGGCTCTATTTTCCAAAAAACTAAGAACACCCTCCCCCCTTCGCTATTTTTCCCGTCTGTCCCGTTTTCCCCCCGCTCTTTCCCTTTGGGAAATCTTCCCCTAAACTTGTTCGTTCTTTTCTTGCATGTTAAAAATAAATCAAGGGTTCCAGGCCCGAAACGTTTTCTAAAAAATATGTAAAAAAAATGTTTGCTTAGGGTGTCTTTCTAAACCAATTTTGTCGGTATTTTTTCCCCAAAGGTTTATCCCATAACAAATTTTAAAAATGAGAAAATAATGCCCCTGAAGTATAGAGCGAGGGGGAAGGAGAGAGAATTAATTTCCACAACCCAGTTTAGGTATAATCCTAACAATTTTAGGAATTCCTCAATAAAATAATAACCACACGAATTTTGGGGTTTTTAAATTTAACTTTTATTTTTCAACCCGAATAAATAGACAAATAAATTTAAAGGGGTGTTTTATTAAAACTGAAAATATGTAAAGAAAAAGGGACAAAATTTGCAACTAATGTGACATTTATTGTGGAAAAACTTTTTCGCTCTCCGGGACTTTAAAATCAAGCCATTACAAACAATACATGGACAAAGAGGGAAATAAAGGCTCGGGGGAGGTGAATACAAAGGAGGAAACCTTTTCCCGATGTTCACTAGGGGTGGTAGTAGTATTTAGAAGAAAGGGGTTTAGTGAAAAAAAAGCAAATAATTCGTACATGGGGAAAAAGGGGATAAAAAGCTATTACTTGGGTAACATAAAAATATTGGACAAATAAAAATTTGGAATGAGGCAGGTGGTTTCAGGGGTTCACCTCTGTGTTTGTGAGTAAAAACGGGAAAAGAAAATTTGTGTTTGGCGGGGGTTTACTTTTTTTTTCGGGGAGGATTCTTGCAAGACTTGGGAAATGGTAAAAGCTGCCGTTTTTTTTTTTTTAATTGTATTCGAAAAGCGTTTCAGTGCTGATTCAAGGGCCACTTGCGTGGGGCGGAAATTATTTCTTTATAACAAATTTGGGCCCGTCCCCAAATTTTCATAAGATGTTTGGTGGAATTTCGGGGGTTGTACACGGCGTTTTTAATTTGGGTCTTTTCCAAATGGCGTATATGTGTTAAATTGAGGGGGGTGTCGGGGTTTCTTGCTGTTTCACCTACGAGATCTTGTCACAGCCTCCACAGGGTTTTGTGTAAATCCCTGCGTTGAGGGTTCGGGTGTTTGGGGTTTTGCCCTGGTTAGACCCTTTTAAATTGAAGGGTGGGAAGCGAGGGGCAACTCTGGGGTTAGTTTGTAAAAGGGTACTTTTGAGATTTAGTGCAACCTGCTGTTGGAAAAAATTATAACTTTTTTGGGGACCCGGTGTTGATCCCGGGAAAAATTGAGTCTGAAGAGCTCTTTTTTTGGCAGTTTTTTGATGAAAAAGAAGGAAATTGTAACCAGTGAATTTTTGGGTGAATGTAAGTACATTCCTCGTCAAAAAAACTCAGGACTAAAAAATTCGGTATGCTCTTAGGAAAAACCCGAGGGATGATGCCTTTTTTGGCCCTTGGTATTTTTGCCCGGGAAAAAAGGTGTAAAGATCATTTTTATTGGGGGTTT